GTACTTTTATGAAAATATTATATAACTTCAGTGGTAAAAGAAACTCGACCTGTAATCGCCGTGTAATCAGTGAAGACCACAGAGCTAGCTAACTCCCTGTTAAATGAATTGTGTCTTCGCCAACTCAAAATTGACTCGCTCAACGTGATCCCTCGATAAGATATCGAGGACGTTCCAGACTAGAAAGAAGACTTTGTATTTCTTGTAAGTTTGTAAAACGTTTGTATATAAATCGTTGTTTGTAATAACTGTTATTGTAAATTGTATTATTGTTTGTGTATTAAAAAATATGTATATTAAAAAAAAAAGAAAACTGTGTGTATCAATCTTTTTGGCAAATATCATAAATTGGAGATATGTCGGCATTTATTTAACTACTAAATTTAAATTATCATTTCAGACCATTCGAAAGTGTAATAAGTAACAGTTTATTTCATTTATGCTGAATAAAGTGATGTTTGACATGGTAAACTTGGATAAATAATTAACTAAAAATAATATGAAGTTATTTCGTGAACACGAGAAATCAAACAGTGTACTGACAGAAAGTGAATATAACACAGAAAAATATTACCCTCCAGTGGCTGTTAAAAAAAAAGGCCCAGCTGCAGTGACTGTTTGTCTCAAGGACTGTTGATAAACAACTGCCTTGCTATCTTTATGTTAATTAATTTCCGGATTGAATATTCTCGTAAGAGGGAGTGAGAAATGAAGCAATTTTATCGATATTTCCTCACGCTAATTTACCTAAATGGGCAAGTTCTATCAGCACCGTATCCTAAGTAAAGAAACTAAAAAAACGAACTAACGACTGTTATAAGGTGTATAAATAAGTAAAAAGAATACGTGTTCTGTTTTTTTTTGTTTCAACAAAATCAGAATTTGAAAATGAGTGTACGAATAATACACGAAATCAATGATGCAATACTAGTATGGTAAGTAGTAGTTATTATATATTCATTATCCTCACCATGTAGCTCCCTCGAGGTTGACTCTATGTAAGTATATAGTTTTGTAGAATATCACTGACTACAAACGCAGGCAGTTTCTTGACTGTTTTGTCACGCTAGGGGTCACTACTGATTCCGCTTCTGTAGGTTGAAAACCGCGATGTATAGATAGATGGTGCAACCAGTAGTTTGTCTCTGTGGCTGGAAGAGTGAAAGACGGTATCATCAGGTCAAGCGCGGAAATCGAACTCCCGTTAAGTCTTCAGTCATTTCTACATCAAGAGAAGAGCCGCGCGGAAGACTGCGATGATCTATAAGATTGAATGTGTAAGAGTTAATTTTTTTTTAATTCTAACTTTTATACATTTACTTATAACCCACTTGTTTGAATGGTTTTCAAACATATAAGTACTGCAAAAGTTCACTAAAATATAAAGAATACTAAGGTTAGAGAAACTAAAAGAACAACAACAAGTATGTGTGTCAACATAATACTCACAAGACCAGAAATATAAAGTAATTGGGTTTGAAATTTGGTGTTATTTGAAATCATTCTAGTGCTTATTAGTGTTAGGCAATGTTTTCAGGGAAATATGTTTCAGCGAATTATGAAATATGAATATAATTAGAAAAGTTATTAAATAATCAGCTTTTATTTACTTCCTACTTGAAGCAACTATTAATAAACACAAATTACGTCAAAAGTATGTGTAGAAAGAGAAGGACTAAAATACCTTACATTTTGTTACCAAACTTGGGAGAAGGCATTGTTTTAAATAAAGATTTTTACAAACAGAATATAAACGTTACAAAAAGTCGATGAGTACAACCAAATAAGACAAGTTCAATCATAAAGCATTTTTATGTGGGGTATATAGCTCAAGATATATATATATATATATATATGTATACATGATAAATATGTGGGATATATAGCTCAAGATATGTATATATATATATATAATAAATATGCTTGATATATAGCTCAACATAGATATATATATATATATATACATATTAAATATATGGGATATATAGCTCAACACACACAGACACACACACACACACACACACACACACATATATATATATATACACATACTAAATATATGTTGAGCTATATATCCCACAAAAAATGTTTTATGACTGAACTTGTACTATTTGGTTGTACTCATTGACTTTTTGGAACGTTCGTATACTGTTTGTAAATACATATAGGAAACATGAATGATACGCTTTGAAAGTACACTAAGGTTTATTTTCAATAAGATATAGCAGACCTATAAAATAATTTTTGCTTGATACTGGGGTTAACATTCTCAGTATTTAGTGGCACAGCGGTAAGTCTGCGGGCTTATAACGCTAGAAATCGGGTTTCGATACCCGTGGTAGGCACACTATAGATAGCCTATTGTGTAGCTTTGTGCTTAACTATAAATGAACAGATATTATTCCAAAGTTTACTAACAAAGTTTTATATTCTCCCTTTTGCTGAACAAAATTTATTTAACCCTGGAATTATAGATAGGTTCCATCAGATTTTCAAGAAGATTTTTCTAAACTATTTACGCCCCACATTGTTTATGGGATCCTGACTTTGTTAATTACAGGGTTCTTAATAACATATAATATCTTTAATATTGCAATTAATCCCATTAATTACTGCTGAATTCCCTACAGACAATCTACATAGAAAATGAGTGATTTCACATCAGTTTTATTTTACAATGAGTGTATATAACAGCTAATAACTTAAAATTACTCGATATGTGGATCCCCCTGGTATTGAACGGTATAAACAAAAATTGGTAAATTGAGGGTTAAGTAACAATGTCAAGTTATAAAACTGCTAGTTTTAAAAGTTTGGAGCATGATTGTATTTTTCATTTTATCCGTCATTATTGTTTAGATTAGCTTTTAACTACACGATAATACTAATGATTACCCAAGATATAATATTTCACGAATATATTAAACTAAAAATTTAATTTTCGTTTTCATCATAACTAGGCATAATTTGCTAAACTAGTTTTGGTAATGTAAAGAAACTGCACACTGCTAAAAATTAGTAGCAAAAATGCCAAATCAGCAACATATAGCATTTTGAGCGTTGTCAATGCTTAATCATCTTATTGCTAGGTGCGGTCAGCAACACTAAGATGTAAAACAAATCAAAATAACCACAATCACCTAATATTTCAATTGATTCATTTAGAAAATTATCTATAAAACTCTAAGAATAATTGTCTCCCATAGATTTTGAAATTAAATAATGTTCTACGATAAAGTAAAAAATAAATATGTTGCTGAGGGAATATTAAATTCGATTATTATCATTCAAGGTGTACAAAAACCAAAAGGTTATATTGAGTATATGTAAGGATGTGTGCTCTAGTATACTTAGCTACGAAATACACCACATCTATTAGCCTCGGCAACGGTGTGTGTTTCTTTGTTAACTTGTTTTTAGGTTTCATTTGATATTATTAAAGCCACCAATTTGTCGAAATTTGTTTCCGATATAGTTGTTTTATATGCAACAGTAAGTGTTACGTTGATTACAATGAACTAAAAAATTCATCCAAGTAGTTAAATCACCCAAAAATGATTTTAGTAAACTATATGATTTTGATAGAAACAGTCACGTGTAAGTTTAGAAAATTTAGAAAAAACAAATAAACTTGATCAATGGTTTCAACACGCACTTGCAGCTGTACAACGTGAATTCAATGGACGAAAATTATATAAGTGAGAGATTAAATTACATGATTACTCGTGCTCGAACTCTGAAAACGTTTAAAACAAAAATACAAAACATGTACAACTTTTACAATTTTGAGCAGGTAAAATTTACAGATAGATCCATAGATACAATAAGGAAAATGCTAAAATGGAAAGAAAAATTGTTCTATTAGTATCCTGTTACTATGGTGCGCACCGTTTGTTATATAACTATAGCGTATGTTTTACTGTCTGGTGTGGAACAACCAAATCATCGATAGCTAACGTTGTCTAACATGAAACTAATTGAACTGAGAAGGATCAAACTACATTTGTTAAAGAATATATGATCTATGTGAACAAATACGTTTTATATATATGTTTGATAGCGTTATTAGTTTTGATCAAAAATATTATTGTTTTGATGCAGAGAAAGAATATATACATATCACCTACGTACGTAATTTTATTCCGGTGGGTCAACGTAAAGTTTACAGGCTTACAACGGTGAAAACTGGGGTTCGACTCCTCTGGTTCACAGAGCGCAGGTAGCCCATTTTCGATTTTGTGCTATAACAAACAAACAAAAAAAAACATTTAAACTTGAGTGTAGATAGGAGATGTTTGAGGCCTGAAAACTAAATGTCTTAATAAACTGGATAGTCATTAAGTAATATTTAATATGTAATAAATAAAATAGCTTTCCATTTCGGTTAACCCGTCCTCTGTATTTGTTTGTTTGTTGTTAAGCATAAAGCTATACAATGGGTTATCTATCCTGTGCCCAGCACGCGTATCAAAACCCTGATTTTAGCGTTAAAAGCTTTTAGATTTACCACTGAACCATTTTTTTGGGGAGGGGGGGGCGTCCTTTGTGTAGTCTCCGACTTTAAAGATTTGGAAAGGCATCATGCTTTGATCTATACTTTTTGCATTTTCTTATTACAAGTTGTTGTTTTATTTGTGAAAGGCTACACAATAGGGTATCTGCACTCTTTCCGCCACTGGAACTCGAACCCCGTATTTTAGCGCAGCCCGTAAATTTATCGCTGTCCCATTGGGGGAATTTTTATTAGTAATGGATAACAAAGACTGGGATAAAGTGATAAAGAGTACTTATATGGTTGAATTTCTCTTTTACAAAAAATAATTGGAATTAGAATTTATAATCTGAACGAAACTTATTTCCACGTCACCAAGACAGAGATTCGTAGGGTTCGGGTTTAGCCGTTCCTAATTTTGAATTACTGAACAGCCTACAACACCCAAAGCCACACAAATTTTGTCCAGATCTTTGAAACGAATAACGAGATTAACCGTTACATTTATAATGCGTCCAAAATTGGAAAATGCGTAGCGTGTTCAACAACATCACGTCTCGCATCCCGGACTTTTCGAACTGTGACCCCACATGCTAACCGCTAGACCCCCTGACCCATTAAGATGTGTCTAAACTTCACTTGTTTGTTCATTCTTAAGTTAGAACTGGGTTTCTTAAAAACTTGAAATCGATAAAATTCGGTGAAACATACTTTATATCAGTATGGGAAGAGTGCGAAATGACATCTTTCATATCACATAAAATTAAACTTCTACAACTCAGCCGCATTTTGTCCGGTGTAATGTTTGTAGAATACAAACGTTATGCGTATCTTGTTTAAAAAGTTGCACTGCTCTGTAAGCTATGAATTTCAACAATTAATGAATTATAAAATTATAAAGGTGAGAAATTTATATGCGATTGATTTAAAAACATACTCGGTAAGTGCTATTACTGCTCGAATGCTTTCAAAAGAAAGACCATTGAATTTCAGAAGTTCAAATATTTTGTTGATAGCAGTTATTTTACGTTAACATTTGAATGTATATAGCAAAAAATAACCACGCACCATAAATCCAATACCATAAAAGTCTTCATAAATATATTATTACACGTTTTTAATATAAAACATTTTGCTGTTCTGTACATGCTGTTATTATGGTATCAAGCAAATTTTTTTTTTTTACTGAGAAGTCAGCTTGAGCAAAGTGTACAAATATATGTCTTATCATTAACTGTTTTGTGCTTTAAGTCTTAACTATGTGTTAAATCAATGTATCTTTTTAACAAAAACAAGTGACAACACTACGTTATTTTCATTATATCATCATTTATTACATCGTGTAAAATTATTTCTGGTTTTGGAAATCTTGATTAATTCAAACAACAAGAGGCGGGATATTTCAAACAGATTAGAATATTTTTTGGGAACGTGCGTAATGTTCAATCTTAAAAACTAAAACTTAAAAAAAAACAACAAAAAACAACGATTATTTTATACACAATTCTATAAAAATAAGATTGGTTTCAGTCTCCAAGTTACTAAAATAATAATTTACTGTACAGTATAAAAAGTGGGAAAAAAAACCGATGAAACTGGAAATTAATCTCATACACACTCAACATGTTTCGACGTATACCCTTGCGTCATCCTGAGTTCGTCATGTAAATGATTATGCAAAAGAACTGCAAATTAATCTTTTAATATGAACACACCTTATGCACATATTGGCTAAAAGGTCAGGTCACAGTACCATATCATTCAGAGAGAAAGCAGCTTGCTAGC